TAAATCCATGTTTTTAAGATGGCACGTACCTTCGTTGATTTTAGCGTTTTTGGTTTTCAATTTTGCGCGGGAGTTCAAACATTGTTTGTCCAGCTTGAGGGCTTGAGTTTTCGATTGGATCTCTTTGTTGATGTTGTGCAATCTTTCTTCTAGAGCATTCCACGCGTGCCTGTGTTGTGTGTGTGCGCGCGTGTGTGTGTGTGTGGAGGTCATATCTTGATATTGTTTGTAGTAGTGAAATAGTAACCGTAGTAGTAATATAGTAACAGTAATTAAAAAGTAGTTAAAAGTTGTTAGCTTACTGGGTCTGATAGAATTTCTCTTGCAACGCCTTCTTTGTGCTGTCTATCTGTCGCACCTCATCAGACAGCCCGTAGAATGGACTGTCTAGACATTTCTCCATGTTTGGTCTAAACGTGCGGTTCTCCATTCTCGTCTGCGCCAACTTGGCCGGGTTGATTGTCGCCCTGATGGCCGCTTCCTGTTTCTTCAGGTCTTCCTCTAATTCTTTCATCTCTTCTTCCGTCTATAATGATTTTACAGACAACATTTTCTTACAAAAATAAATTTTGTAAGCCATTTATGAATAAAAATTATTCTGCAATAAGTGACATAATTCGAAAAATTAAATTAAACGACATTTAAATAACAGTTATGGTGGTAGTGATAAACTAATTTAGAAAAAAAAAACTTCAAAAACATCATTTCAACTCGGACCTGCTGTTTCTGCCAGTTCAATTCATCGAGGGCTTGTTCCATCTCGTGGATACGTTTCCTGAGCATGAAATGCGTGGCCTCCAGTTGGGCCGCCAGGTCGTTGTCCGTCTGCTGAATGGCGTGCACGTTGGCCTCTCTCTGCATTTTTGCGTTCGCTAGTGCGACCTCCGCTCGATGTCTGCTCTCCCTGCAATGGTCCTCCCACTCTTTCAATGTCACGCTTCTGAATGTGGTGCAGATTGCGAACTGTGATGTCTGATCGTATCAGTCAATCAATCAAATCGTGTTTATATAACGCTAATTCTAAGTGTTTAACCGTGCTATGTATGTCGTATTTATTCATATACGTACTTAACATCTTTCATCTACTTTTTAATTCTATTAACAGGCAAACATTGCAACGAATTTTTTAAAAATTAAAAAAGAAGAAAAAATATGAAAAACTACCCCTTCGGGACCCTTAGAGGATCCGGTTTGAAACTGATCATCGATGAATCTTCCGTCAAATTGTACTGCTCGATATCAACGTCGATGGCCACATTCTTATCTTGGATATCCGCCAGCAGTTTCTGCCTCGCTTCCTGCAGTGCGCATATTATTTCAAAACTCGCGTCCACCTGACGCTGGAGAAGCTGCTTCGATTCCTCTATCACTCTTTTTTCCTGTTATTTATTATCTATAAATTATGAAACCTCGTTTGATGTGCATTCAGTTGAACAATTATCAAATAATTAACTCAATACTTAATAGCATTAATGATGATTGAATAATTACATATACATTATCAAATAAATAACGAATAATTATCAAATAATTAACTTAATACTTAATAGCACTAATGATGATTGAATAATTACATATATATTATCAAATAAATATCGAATAATTATCAAATTGCCATTAAACACTACTTAACAATAAATACCAAATAACTGAAACCGACTTTGTTGAGTTCATCATCGGCTTCGTCCAATACCAAATCAATTCCGCGCCTGGCGTCTCTAAGTACCAGATTTTCTACGTTAACTTCCGTTGGGGTGTTCTTATCTTCAAGAGCCCTCTCTAGTTCATCTTTCGAAGTCGTCAGGTCTACAATTTCTTTCTCCACGTTGCTCAGTGTTATGTCCAGTATGTCGCGCCATCTATGTGTAAAGTGAAGAATTGTAGGTTTATTAGGAGTTTTGAGGAGAATTAGGTGATTTAGAATTATCGATTAGCTATAATATTCACAATAATTATGAATCAGATGTTGATAAATTATGATAATTATATTATTAATACACCTCCTGACGTCATCCACCCTGTCGGCCAGCCTTGTATTGTTATCCATCTGGTCCCATTTTGTACGATTATTAGTTTCATTTCGCAAGTATCTGGTATTTTACAAAAATAAAAATATTTTTGAATGAATGATTGCGTGCTTGATTGATTGATTGATTGATTGAATACTTGATTCATATTGATTGTTGTATAAATTATTTAGCTAATCGACCAATCCATCAATCAATTGATTGAGAGATGATCAGAATAATTGATATAATAGGAAAAGAAAGGGAGATAGAGATAAATATATACTAGATAAACAGACAAAACGCAAAATAGATTGTTTCAAAAAATAAAATATAAAAATTAATTTACACTAATTCACTAACCTGGCCTCCTGTTTGACTTCACTTGCGTTTGCCCTTTCTTTCTCGGCCCCGAGTGATACGTTGTAATTATTTATGAACCAATCGGTGGTTGAAAACCTCGGGGCAGATTTCAGTTGTGTCGCCATTTTTGGATTAATTTGTAAAATAAATTATTTAAAGTATTTGATAAAATTATTTTATTTTATAGTGGTTGCTAGTAAACTGATCGATTAAAATCGTATGGCTTGTAGTTTTAAAGGTGTTTAATGATTGATTACATAGCGTTACTACGGGGATGATGGGAAGTTAAACAGGTAAAAACGCATTGTATGCAATAAAATTTAAAATTTTTATAATGAAATTTTAATTAAATAATTGTAAATTGTTTATAAAATTTTTAAAATATTATTTTTAATACAATTGTGTTTTATTTTGTTTTTAATTAAAATGGTTATCATATCTTTGCTTCGTCTCCCGCTTCTATTCAATTGATATTTTGTCGCCCATTTATTTAAGCTCTTTATTAATTGGTTCCTTTGTTTCTGCGAGGTTTTTGTTAAATTTTAAATTCTTCTCTTGACAATTTTGTCGTTTGGTTTCAAATTTCTACAAAAAGATGAACTCAAGCCTGAATAACAGCATGGATACTGGTTAGATTAGAAGATTAAGCCATTAAGGATTTGATTGTTGTTTTTTTAAAGTTTTAGCAAACAGAAGTGTAGTTTTAGAAATAAATCAGTTTTCTTAAAACTCAGAACGTAAACGTGATTTTCATTGATATCTAATCGTAAAACTTTTTTTAGTAGTTGAGAAAACCGGTGGAATAGCCTTTGAATTAATCTTGAAGGAGGCCAACAACAAGGAGAACTCACCTGCTCTCCTTAGAAATATTTCCTCCCCAATGAGGTCGGCCTTCTTGTCTAATGAACTAATTGAAAAAAAACTCCTAGAAGCCCAGGAGCGTAGACATGTACGCTATTTGCCTAGTTTATTTTTTTAGTACTTTATTTTATGCTTTTGATTTGATTGAAAGAAAGTAAAATAAATCAGTTTCTTTCTAGTAAATTCTTTGTTACAAAACTCTCTTTTTTTGTAATTGAAAGTAAATAAAATGACAATTTTCTAAGTATAAACTATAGATGAGTGTATAGATATTTTTATATCCATTTTTTTTATCCTTCGCAATATGTGGTCAAAATAATTTTACATTTACAAATGCCATTAATTTTCGAATTTTCATCTTATTTAATTATAAACAAGTCCTTAGAAGTGAGCAAACAGCGAAACTGGCTGAAGGAGAAGAACAAGATAACGGAGGCCAGTTTGAGAGTTCAAGAGGTCAATGACTCCTTCTCAAAGGAAACTGAGAAGAAGTTGCAGAAAAGAATGGACGCTCAGAAAGAGAAAAAGGATGCACACATGAAGGCTCTTATGGATAGATTGACTCAGCATGTATGTTTCTTTGATGGACTATATTTGTGTGTGCATTTGTATGTTTGTTTGTATGTGGGTTTCTTTGTTTGCTTATGCTTTTGCTTAATCAAAAACCCCAAAATTTAGGCCCAAAAAGTTGATGAAATTCGTAAGATGAGTGACCAATACAGCTTGGAGTTGAAGGAAAGAATTGAACGAAAGATGGAAACAACTGGAGGAAAGAGAGAAGCTCAACTAGCTGCCATCCAAGAACGATTGAGAGAGCATGTAAGTTGGATGAAGGAATGAATGAATGATATGTATTTTCATTTTGATGTTTGTTCATTTTATCTTTATTATCATTTTATCATTATTATTAGTTTAGTTATATTTACATTGCATCATTCTCAACCAGTTCATTTTTTAAATGATGGTTTCTTTCTAACTCAGAAAAAGCATGTAGATGAGGTGATAGAAAGTAATGCTACGTTCAGCAAGCAGACGAAAGAGAAGATGATCTCAAAGATGGAAAACAGTTTGAAGAATAGAGAGAAGCAGCTGAATCAATTGATGGATCGTATCAGGAATCATGTATGTTTCTCTCTCTCGCTGTCTTTATGTTTCTCTCTCTCTTTCTGTCTCAATCTTTCTCTCTCTCTTTAAGTTTATCTCTCTTTGTTTCTCTTCCCTTTTTTCTCCTTCTATCTTTTTGTATATATGTTGATGTGTGAGTCTACATTTGTTCCCTTGTTTTGGTCTGTGTGTGTATGTGATAATATAACCAAATAATAATAATATTAGTAATATTAATAATAAAAAATGTGCGCTGACACACAGAACACAAGGGCTGAACAGGTCTGCAAGAGCAGGAGCAATCAGAGTGTGATGGGTGTGACGACTCTGGATGATTCCATCTCGGCTTGCAATCTATCCACTCTTAATATGAATGATTGATCGGTTGACTAATTGATTGTGTAGTGGAATTCACTGATTGATTGGCTGGGCTTGTTGATTGACTGATTGGTTGACTGATTGGCTTACTGACTGAGAGATTTATTGGCAGGTCTGTTGGCCATATGATTGATTGATTGATTGACCATTTCATTGATAATTTTACTGGTTGGTTGCTTTGTTAAGTTTGTCAATTTTTGTTTTTTCATTTTGATCTTAATTAATTGTTAACGTGTTGGTCTCTTTTTTTTGGTTTTATTTCTTCTTTGGACAGTTACTATTATCTGAATATATCAGTCTCGTCTATCCTGTGCATGTATATGATTTTTATTTTGCATTTCAGTTGTGTGTGTGTGTGTGTGTACGACTGTGTGAGAGTTGAATTAATGTGAGTTGAATTAATGTGAGTTGTATTCATCCATCTATCTTATTTTTTCTATGAAACAATTTTCATCGACATTTCCATCTATTCAGCCATATTGAAGTAACTGAGTTTTTAACTTTATAACTATTGATCTTATTATCATTTTATGATATTATCATTCATTTTAGTCGTTATTTTATTCGGTTTATTCGTTCAGATAAACTGTCGCTTTCATTCCAAGGATTTTACAGTTTTTTTATATATATTTTCACCTTTCAATAATTTTTTAAACTAGTGGGGCTTATGGTATTTCCACACACACATGCATACATTCATACGTACGCGAACATACGCACATATATATATACACGCTGTACATCTGTCCCGAGCAGAGAAGATATTTTCAACAAACAATTTCCAGAAAATTCTGGTAAGGGAGATTGAAAAAGACAAACTTTAAATTGATTAATGACAGCACATTATTAGAGTACATACAATGTAGAGAAGAATTTTCTAAGCCGCGGCCGGCCGTCTTAATCTCATGCTTAAAATTAGAAGATAGCAATACAAGAGAGCAATTTATTTACAATATAATTATAATCAGAAGAATTATAAAAGAATTATTTAATAATTGAAATAACATCGGACAGAACAACGAGCACAAAATGAACGACGATGAGGAACTCAAACAAGCTATTTATTTATTTAATATTTATGAAGATGTTATGTTAATGTTGGTTGTCAAGGATAAACTGATATTAGCTAGTTATATATTTGATTTCACTTTTTGGGGAATTTTTTGGTTTTTTAATCACCTCTCCCTCTCTCTATATATATATACATTCTATTTACACCATATTAATGTACGGTTCGTTTGGACATGCATTGAAGATATGAGATGTGTTGATGACTGAATCTTGTTTTTCTTCTCGATGTCTGTAGTATCGGTAGTTATTAGTAACATTAAGATAGTAACAATAATGATGTAATATTGATAGATAAGTATATTGTTATTATTGTTAGTAGTAGTGTTGTGTTAGTATTGTTATTAGTTCTGTTAATAGAGCATCATCAGTGGAGTCAAACACTTCCTTTAGATGAAATTTATTTATTCTCCATTATCAAATTGAAGAAAACGTAATAATTAAACGTGGAATTAATAATATTAATTATAATTATTATAAGTTATAATAATTATAATTATTATATCTATAATATAATAAGCGGTAGTAGTAGTAGTAAGCTAGTTGAAGCGATATATTAATAACAAAGCTAAAAAAACACATGCATATTATAAATGTATATATACTATATATATATGTGTGTGTGTGGTGATAATAACATCAATATACATCCTAGTTAAGTTAGATTGTGAGTAGGTGTATGTGTGTCTATTGTTTAATATAAGATTGAATCATATTAGTATTAAAGAGATACTAAATTTTAAAAATTATTTCTAGTATTAATATTGGTATTGACGAGTTTAACAATCAAATTTTCATTTGGTAAGTGTTATAAATCGATGATTTTTGGATGGCAAGGTTAATCAGATGTGAGTATGTGTACGTGTGTATGTGAGTGAATGTGCGTGTGTATGTGAATGTGCGTGTTTGTGTGTAAGTAGAGAAAAACCGAGATTAAATATGTCAAACGAACAGAAACGTGTTAAATTCGCGACAACAACAAAAGCAATAATCTGTATTCAAATATTAAAAATGAGAAAAAATAAAATCCTCAAAAAGATGGAAGAATGTGAAAAAATATTTCTGGCTGGCCGGTCTGCTCTGCGTATATTGGCGTATGTACGAGTGTACGTGCATACATGTGTGTGTTTGTTTGTGCATGTGTATATAGGTGTACGTGTGTGTATATGTACTGGGCTGTTTGTGTGTATACCGTTCGTGTATTTGCATACATAGGTATGTACGCTCGGTATTCTGTATGTGTACGTTTATGTAACTGTATACCTATGTATAAATGTATGTGTGTGTCTATGTGTATGTGTTTGTATCTCTAGGTGATACCAAAAACTAAAATTAACCTTAATTATATCTTAGATAGGAATAAAACTAAAGAAAAAAAATTAAATAAAAAAGCTTTCATTTGCTAAATTCCATTTCTAGGGTGGCCACAAAAGATATTTTTATCTCATTCTAAGCTTGCGTCATCATTGCGAGAAATTCAAGTCTGCGGTCAGAATCAAGGCGCGAAAATTATCCCCAACACTAACAACAAGAAAAATAATAACCATAATTATTTTTATTATATTATGATCAATAGAAAATAATTACGACATAGAAAAAAAGCACAATCTTACTGTTAAGAATTTCTTATCGTTATAATCGATGAAGAATACCCACTTGAAAAGTTTTAATAAAAATCGGCAGTTGTGTTAATATTAATAATAGTAGTGACTGCTATAGCAGCAGCAGCAGTAGTAGTAGTAGTAGCAGTGGCTTTAGTAGCAATAGTAGTAGCATTACTCTAACAGTAGTAATAATATCAGGAGTTGTCGTAGTAGTAGTAGTAGCAGCAGCAGTAGCAGTAGTAGTGGAAAAATAACCTGCTAATGATGTACACATACATTATCCCGAAAATCACAGATTAAAAAAATTTTGAAAAATTCTCAAAGCAAAAAATGAAACACACATACACACACACCCACACATATATATCTATATATATCTATATATATCCATATATATCTATATATAGAGCTATGTTTAGCTAAGCAGCGTTATTATAAACATTATTTATTAATTACTGCTATTTCGTTGCCTTTAGCTTTATAGAGCTAGTTCAATATCATTATCATCAACAATGTTATCATTATTATCATCACTTTTGATTCGTTATCATCATCATCATTATCGTCATCATCATTATCACCATAGTCACTGTTAACATTTTTTGATTCTATAATTGTTCTCGGTGTGGTATCGCCAACATTATTATTATTATTATTATTATTATTATTATTATTACCACCACTACTACTACTACCACTACTTCTATTTGTAGCAGTTGTAGCAGCGTCTATCGCCACTATCATTGTTATAAATTTGTTATAAATCTTTCTTGAATATAAAGAAGAGCGGAAAGGGAGAAGAAAAAAATATTTTCATCATCATCATCATCGCCGCCACATCATTATCAGCACTACCACCGTCATCATCATCATCCTCATCATCGTCATCCTCTACATGGAGTAATCGAGATAGGTGTTGAAGTTGGAGTCGTCGTTCTCGTCCGTGCAACCGCAGACCATCAACTTCCTCTCCACGCCCCACAGCTTTTCAAGGTCAACCTGAAGGTCATCATCATCATCATCGTCTTCATCATCATCATCAGTGACAATATCATCGTAGTTGCAATAGCACCACCATCACCACCCACCACCACCATCATAATCATAACCTCGCCCTCCCAGATGTTCCCATCTTTCTTATCCAGTTGGAACCAGTTATCCTGCCCGACTACAACGGCCACGGACACGGCTTTCGGGATTTCCAACTTAAAATAGACATGGTTAAAAGTAGAGGCGCTACCCTTATCCGGTCTGTTGTGTTGCAGGTGCCCTGCGTGGGTGGAGTCAAATAAATTATGTTAATTAGTTGGCTATGCATATCTGGGAAGGTTGAGTTGTTGGATAAATTATGTTAATTAGTCTGGAGAGTTGACTGGTTAGTGTGGATTTGAAAGGAAGCGGAAACCTTCAAGTGGCTCGTAGAGATAGCATCCCTCCTTCCACAATCCGTACTGTTTGGGATAGGGAACCCCGGACGCAACGGTGGACTTGCAGTGTATCAAGCAGTTGTACACTCCCAGCAGGCTGTCGCCCGGCTCTGATTCCGGATTTCCGAACAGTTGAAACTTGAAAGTTAAAGTAACCATAGAAACAACGCTTAAAAAGATTGAAAGTTGTATAATTGATTCAATTATACAACGTATCAATCTACTGAATGAATGAATGTGAATGAATGGATGAATTGATTAATTAATCAGTTAATCAACCAATCAATCAATAAATTTACCTTATAGTATCCAGGTTCCGTCAACTTGACAAGGAAAGTGATCCCTTTGGGACTGCTTTGTTGCAAGACGTAGTTGGAACAATCCTTGTCTGCAATGTGAAAAATAATAATCAATCATCAATTAATCAATCAATCAATCAATCAATCAATCAATCAATCAATCAATCAATCAATCAATCAATCAATCAATCAATCAATCAATCAATCAATCAATCAATCAATCAATCAATCAATCAATCAATCAATCAATCAACCAACTAACCAACCAACCAATCCTCAACTAACTCTGGTCATTGGTGACGCAGATGAGTTGTGATGAAGTTCTCAACGGTTGGCTGGTTGAGAATGAGATCTGCAGTTCTCCGGAGTTATTCTCGATGTACGGGTCGCTGTTGTTGATTGTCTTCAAACCAATCTTCTCAAACGTCGCCTGTGGGCCCAGGTATCCTAATTGGTTGATTGATTGATTGGTTGATTAATTGGTTAATTGATTGGTTAATTGATTGGTTGATTGATTGATTGGTTGATTGATTGGTTGATTGGTTGGTTGATTGGTTGGAGTATGGCTGATTGTTGCAATGAAAGGTCGATTAATGAGTTAAAAAAATTTGATCATATCATTGTAGAGTATTTAGGTAATAAATACATAAGTGACACAAATCAACCAGACAATCAATCAACCAACCAACCAGCCAATCAATCAACCAACCAGCCAGCCAATCAATCAACCAACCAACCATCAATTAACCACACAACCAACCAACCAACCAACCAATCAGCCAACCAACCAGCTGGCAAAGCGGGGAAAGGTTGAACGGGAGTGGCAGCATCTTTGCAGATGATCAGGTACTGATAAGCATGAAGTAAACTTTGACCTCCAGTTTCAGGGTCATTTGCATAAATTTCCAGACCATACTCACCGTCGTGTGGGGGCATCACAATAAAAATGGCCTCGTCTGTCATTTTGGCGGAAATTTTCGTCGGAGAAATTATTTAGAAGAAGAATTTATTTTAAAATTCTATTTTAAAATTAGAATTTTTTAATTTTAAGGTAATGGTATGTTATGATTGAAGTGAAGTGTATGTCCATGATGAAGGCTATTGTAATAACGTTTCCATTTAAACAGATGATGACGCAGATGATGATGATGACGAAGAAGAAGAAGATGATGATGATGAAGAAGATGATGAAGAAGAAGAAGATGTTGATGATGATGATACCTTGGACGCTCCTGTAGAGGACGTGATGGGAGAGGAGTTTTTCATCGTCCTTGTTGTTCTTCAACTTCGCCATGAAACGCAATCTGCCAACAAAAAATTCCGACGACTTCGATCACCCCACACACAAAAAACGCAGAATTCACAGCATCAGGAACATCCCTAATCACCGAGCAAAAATAGCAACATCCCACCCGCCATCTTCACTAACTTTCCTCCGAACTTGAACTTCACGTCGGCCACGCCTTTCACAGTTTGCACGATGGATCCGGTCTGTAAGGGGGTGATGTCGAACTTGTCAGCGCTGTCCCCGGGACCCCAGGACGAGTGGACGCAGGGTGGGAATGGATTGGGAGGGGAGGTTGTGGTGCTGATTATTTTATACTCGCATATACCTCCGTAGACACCTTCTTTCGACTGAAATTGTTTGTGACAATTTCACGTTACTTTTCTATTTACCATCGCAAACGCTATAGATAGATACGCCTACTTCTGCTACTACTCTTCCAACTGCAACTACTTCAGCAACAACGAACCTGTTGGTCAAGGTCCTTTGCATAGATGACCAGCAGGTAGGATGCCTTCTCTGGCGGTCTGATGGTGATGTAGCAAGCGTTGGCCGCCACCTCCATCATGGCGAACTGGTTCAGTGGCACGCCCTGGAAGGCCTCGTTCCCATCTTCGTATTTCAAGTTGAAGGTGAATTTCATTGAGTGTGCCTGTGTGTGAAGTTGTGCGTGCGTGTATGAGCGTGTGTGAAGTTGTGCTTGTATGAATACACACAAAAATACACACGAAAAAATGTAAACCCGGATATATACGATACACGTCACAGAAAACGTCAACACGACGGCCGGCCCATCCAAGAAGAACCCACCTAACCTACCTTATCAGGGGGGCAGTCCAATCTAATTGTGACCCTCTCAGAACAGTCGATGATGGCGTCCACATGGCTGTAGAGCTGCAGGCCGTACTTGAAGAAGGCCGGTTTGCAAGGGACCAGGTGTTCGAACTCGGCCTGGGTGAGTTGCCTGCTGAGCAACTGCCAGGAGGGGTCGTCTGGGAAGTGGCTGAAGATGAGTTGGGAGGGAGCTGGCATGAAGTAATACTCGTCTAACTCGAAACGGATGCTGTCTGCTGAGTTCTGCGAACGGGAAAAAAGCGATTGAATGATTTTTAAAAAAGAATATGATGATACCAATGATACTCATAAACAGATAGACAGACGAACAATTAGACAGACACTTTTCCCAATCTCTCTTTCTCTCTCTCTCTATCTCTCTCTCTCTCACCTTATCTCCTACAAGCCTCCTTGCGGCCCAGTGGCAATCCACAAGTTGCCAAGTCCCATTGACGAACACGGCATTCCAGGAATGTTGGCCCTTCTGTCCGGGAGTGAATTTCATTCCGGGTTTGTACTCGGCCCCCTTCGCTACACCGGAAAGTGTCTTGCAGTGCAATCCTGCGTAGCTGTGAGACGACGATGATGATGATGATGGCGATTATTTTCATTGACTGTGTTCACTTTTAATTGTTACTCAAGATGTATAAAACTGCCACACGCAAACACAACCACCACAGACAAACAACCACCCCAGATAAACAAACACACACAGACAGACAGACGTACACAGACAGACATACTTGCAGAGCGTCTCATAAGCCCTGGCGTATGTGGTCTCGCCACTCTTCAACTTCATCAGCATTTCTTCTGGTGAGCCCTTCTCGTAATTGGCGAAGCTCAACTTGGACAGATCCTTTGAGCAGAGCCACAGAAAAATTGCTCTGTCATTTGAATTGAAGCAGTATTCAATGAAATTAAGATGTTTATATTTATCATATTTAATATCCCCATCATCATCATCTTGAGGTCATCATCACCATTCCAATCATCGTAGCTGCTAATAACCTGGCCTTGTCCAGTTCGTTGGTGATGTTGCGGGCGAAGATGAGATGCCACAAGATGTCTTTGAACGTCTCGTGCTGGGTACCAGACACCTACACATTTCAAATACCGCTATACATACACAACACCCATGCACACTATCATCATCATCATCCTCATCATCATCATTTCCATCATCATCATTTCCATCATCATCATCACCTGGACGGCATGATTGTCAAGATCCTTGAAAACCTTTCTGGGATCGATGAATAACTTTTGAACGGAAATAGTTTTCGCCTCTGGCTTGGGGGCCACATCCGGATTTTGAGGGGCCTGAACGACGAAGTCTTTCGGCGGTTTCACTACGATCTCCTTGGTGAAGGTATCGCTGGAGGCGTTCGTCTGATACTCCTTGTCCGGAATCACAGACTCCAGAGTCACGACCGTCGATGTCGTCTTCGTCATTCCGTTTCCGATTGGGTAGTCTTTGCTGTCTGGAGGTTTGAAATTTGAAATGTGTGTTCGTTTGTGTGTGCGTGTGTATGTGTGTGTTCGTTTGCTGGTGTGTGTGTGTGTGTGTGTATCTATGCCAAAGAAATTGCGAAAACCCTGAATATATAATAAAAAGACGAAGCGAAAAATCTTAAAACCCACAAGCATCGTGCTTCGGGTCAGTAGAAGTGCCAGCACCAGCTCCACCCCCGCCTCCAACAGCCACAACTTTCTTGATTACAAACGTCCTTGGCTTGTACCTGTGCGTGGTATCGACCTTGACCCTTTTGATGATTGGTCGCTCCTCATAAACCTTCTCGGAGGGAATTTTGCCGTAACTTTCGGCAATGGTATTTCCGGGGTAGGCGATCAAGTACTGGCTGATGTGCGTGAACATGTCTCCGTGCTTGGCAGGATCGTTGGCGAAGATCTCCAGACCGTACTCTCCTTCCTCTGGCAGGTCGGCCAAGATGGTGATCTGTTGGGGTGCATACATTTTCATCCTAGCTCCACTAACCACCACCCATCTACACGCACTGTCCTCATCATTACTCACCGTTTTATCATCGGACTTGACAGAGAGGCCCTTCTTCAGGTCAGCAGGGTTGTGCCCCTCCTTAATCAAACGCGGGTAGACCCGAACATCGCACTTCTTGTCGAACACTAATTCGACGTGCCCGTTAGGAGCCTGGATGATTCCATTTTTCTGGTGGGGTTTCAACTCGAAACGATGCGCTGTTGAATCGTCTGGGCCCCAAACAATGTCACTGCATTGCGGGAAAATCGCTTGTCCCTTTGTAAAAAAAGTGTACAAGATTGTGTACAAGAACGCGTACACAATCGTATACATAGAGCGGTACTTAACATTAGGCATGTGTTGATATATGATGTGTGTACACTATGTCCTTGATATATGATGTTGGCGTGTACCTTCAGTCAATCTTGATGCGATGAAATATTGTACTGCACATATAATAGGAAGACAGGTAACATGAGAGTTTCTAAAGGTATCATCCGTTATTTCGACACGAACATAATTTGAATTCAATCAATGTTGAGAGTCAAAAATAATTACTCGTTGATGAAGTTAGAAAAATTTAAATACTGAATTATACAACCAGGCAACAACAACCAAAAAAACAACCACAACAACCATAACAACAATAACAGCAACAAAAACGTCACTACCAGACACCCACCTTAACTGGCTGATCACAGACGATCTTGTACTCGCAGACGGCCTTGAAGACATGTTCGCCAGTGTCTGCCGGGCTGTCTGGAGCCACGTCTGCAAATGCAATCAAGTAATAATCCCCTTTCTGTGGCAGTCTGAGATGGTAGGTCACCTGTAGGAAAAGAAAAAAACATTGTGTGTGTTTGTGTGTGTGTGAATCAAAAACAACTTCAAAGAGCAGACAGACAGACAGACAGTCAGACAGACAGACAGACAGTCAGTTAGACAGACAGGCAGACAGAGATGTACCTGTTTTTGCAAAGTTTGTTGGAGGACGTATGAAGTTAATGGAACGCCATCCAAACTTTCCTGCATCTTGTCACCGTGAACTAATTTGAAAGTGTAAGCCGTGGCGTTCGAAAATCCCACTGACACGACAGCAATTCCTGTACAAATGTTTGCCATATGTACACACAACATATTAATTAATTAATCAAATTAATTAAATTAATTAATTAACACATTAATCAAATTTTCTCTTGCCAAACGACAAACAAGAAAGATTGAACAAGTTAAAATAAAACATATCAGGATGTTATATCAATTCCTTAATTACACAAAACTACATGTCAAATTTCATCGGCCAGCCCGCGACGAACCATATTTTGCGTGGACAACCCCAAGGGCACAGTCATTAAGTAGGTGCATTCCACTGGTGAAAAAATAGGATTTCAGGAGCGGGAACTCCTCAAACTTTTCCTTAGTAAGAATGGGAGCCTTGAGTAGGAGCCAAACGGGATCCTCTGAATAGTGAGTAAGGGACAGTTGGTCGGGTTCCGGGATGAAGTAGAAGTCGTCATATTCGTAGACGAGGTTCTCAGGGGAGTTATGCTCTGACCTCAGGAATCTAAATTGAAAAATGGCAAAAATATTTCTCGCAAATTATTCCTATCTGTCCAGGACAAAAACTACAAATCACACACACCTTGTAGCCCAGTGGCAATCCACCAAATGCCAGTTCCCGTCAACGTAGATGGCGTTCCAGCTGTGATTGACAGGTTGCGAGGTCAGTGCGATTCCAGGATGATAATCGACACCTTTGGCCCAACCGAGTATGGTCACGCATGAAAGACCGGCGTGGCTGGTGACATTGCGAATTCGGGATTAACATTTTGGGATTATGATTCTATGATACTCACAATTCAAAGTTACAAATAAATATCGACAAATAGGTAGAAACACAAGCATCACATACACAAACAACCCCACGACAAAGACATACAAAAACGCACAGACACACAGACAGACAGACAGACAGACAGAGAAATACCGAGCGAGACATTCGAAGATGCGAGCGTAGGTGGCCTTGCCCTCCTTGAAAAGTGAAAGTAAAAGTTCTGGAGAGTTCGGTTTCACCTCAGAAAATTTTATCTCCACTAGATTCTTGCAGGTCAGCCAACGAAAAATGACCCTAAGCATGAGCAAATAAAAATAGTGGATAGACTGAAGGGATCACACCATTTCGTGAAATGAATAAAAATAGTAGAGAGACTGAATGAATAGATGAATGAATGAATGGATGAATGAATGAATAAGCAGACTGACTGATCATAAATAGACCAAATGAATAAATAAATGAGTGTGTGGATTGATTGATTGATGAATAAATAGACTGAATGAAAGAATGACAAATAGAAAGATTGATGGAGAAATGGATGAATGAATGAAAACCTTGCTCTCTCTAGCTCATTAAAATCAAGTTTGAAGCAAAGATTCCAGAGGAGGTCTTTGAAAGTTGCATAATCTTTGTTCGATTCCTTTGTAAAAATAAAATTAATGAAACTCGATTTAATAAATTAATTTATTGTGTGTATACATGCGTGTGTGTGCGTGCGTGTATGTGTGTGTGTGTTGGCACTGAACCAGATGAACCAGATGGGAGGGGAGATTATTTGCAAAAGAAATTCAATTCAATCTAACATGGTTCAGAGAAGTAATATAATTTAACCTTTGCATGTACATGTGTGTGCGTGTGTGTGTGCGCGCGCGTGAGTGTATGTGTGTGTTGCTATCATCATCATCATCATCACCATCATCACACGTCATCCATGTTTAAAAGTAAATCAAATAAAAATCAGAGATGAATATGGATGAGTGAATGATGTTTGCTCAAATCTTGGAACCATGTGAATACTATTTGCATGCTAATTTACTATTATTATTATTATTGTTATTATTATAAAAAATATTGAAGATAAAATAAACATTTACAGAATCAAACTCCTCACACACAAACATATGAACATACAGATACAAAGACGACAAAATTGAACACACACATGCATATTTACACAGAAACAAAACACACACACACAAACGCGCGCGCGCGCACACACACACACACACACACAGTACTATTGTTTTTCAAAACATGTGTGTAATTACATTCAATAGAGAAAGTACAGCAAGAAGAGTACACCAATACACACACACACACGCACACACACATATATATATACACATGCAAACACAGATACAAACACACATATATTCACACACACACACTCATATACAAACACGTATATCAGTCAGTATGCAACATAAAAAAGATGATGATGTGTACATTTCAATGGTAAAAACGTGTAACAGATGTATATAAACACGTACATACATTCACACATACATATAGACATACATAAATATGTACACTCACACATACACATACACTCACACATACATACTTATATACATTTCCTTTTATTATTATAGAATATTGATTGATTCACAATCATTGAAAATAGATACATTAAAATAAAGAGTGAAAAGATTAATAGATATTATCCACTTATCCACACACACCACACACACACATACACACAAACAAACACACACACCTACACACACACACACACACACAAACATACACATGAAAACATACACAAACATGCACACATAGACTGAAAACAACAAGACAAAAAAAAAACCATCTTGGAAAAACCCGCTTAACTCCTTAACTAATTCTTCCTAACTGACCTGAATGGCGTGATTGTCCACCTCACTGAAAACGGAAATATCGTCATAGATGTCGCTCTTCGTTACTTTAGGGGGGTCCGGAGGTATGTGCTGGCCGGCCTTGACAACCTCCAGTTTGAAATCGCTTGGTGCTGACATGATAGAATCGATAGCTGTTTACTCTACTCTAACTAAGCTGAGTTTTAGCTGAGCTAACAAATGCGTTGAGGATTGTGTTAATGGTTGATCGGCAGAGGTATTGGTATCTTAGTATCTGAGTAATGAAAAATCACAATTAAAAATATTAGAATGATTAAAATTATCGTACACACAAACAAACACACACACGCATGCATACACTCACACACATACCAACACACATACAAACAAACACACACAAACAAACAAACCTACAGACCTATGTATAATACAAAACAGCTAGCTATGCAAATTACATCCTGACAAAAATAATGTATCAACATCATCATCATCATCATAATCGTCATCATTACCGTACAACTGGATACATTGTAATCATCATCATCATCAATTTTTAATAGATGGGACTAACATTTATTTACATGCCGAAGTGTCTGGCTTTTCAAT